AAATTTTGCCATGTATTCGTGGACTGAGGTATCACGAAACCAAAATCAAAGTACCACTCTGTAACAGTATATGGCGCTTTAGCGATCCGGCTAAGATTTTTCGGAAAGTTGCTTCTTCGAGAAAAAAAAACAAGTATTTTGAAGGAAATATGAGCATTTTTGAAGATATTTAAGCGCATTTTTAATTATATCACTTAGAGAAACACTGCAAATGTCTGTACTTAGTGACGAAATCGTCAGTAACTCAGGATTCGACTTTTTTTTGCTTTATTCATTTGCCATAAAAAGTGGAGATACTCGGAAGTAGCTCATTTGTGTATGTGCTGCTATTTATGTGTATGTGGATGTGAGTTGGTTGATAATTTGACATGATAACTTGTTAGGATTTGGTAAATTGACTTCTTAACTTAATAAGTTGATTCAACCTAATTTAATAAATTAACTTGATAAGAGTGAGAGCATGATAAGTTATCAGCCAAAAGCAACATAATTAGTGGTACTCCATTAGTAGATGCTCAACAGTAGTGTGAAGTAAATTAGACGTAGTCTGGACCTATCATATATATTGGAATTATTACTCAACCGCGATTAATTCTTCGATCCAATACCCACAACACTTTCGCCATGTTTTTAATTGCTAATTTGGAACTGTATTTTGTTGTAACGCAAAAGAAAAAAGTACCTTCAATAACACTGCCTTTGAGAAGGACTCGTTGTTCCAGGCGGAATTTGTCGATTTTTTCAGCAGAAGTAAAATTTATTTCACGCGACACCGTCCGGCATTTCAGGATACTTTTAGGGACATGAGCTGAAAGGCTGCTCATTTTCATGCCACAACTCAGATAAAATCAACATTGCCAATGGCAATCTGAGTTTGAGAATGTGGTACTGTGAAGAGATCATATCTGAGTTCTTTTAGTCAGAATAAAAAAAACAAAGTATTCATGCTTGCACAATTTCTATGTTCAGCATCACGATAGTGCCCCGAACCTCGTTTTTTTTTAGCAATTTCTCATTCATAGACTGGATTTGATGCCTTTTTAGCGAAAGTGCAAATCTAGTTTTTGTGCCTATGAACTCATTATCCGCACTTGTCAGCT